TAATAGGGAACCTAACCATTTACAATGACTAAGAGTGCACTTTGAGGAGGAGAACCAGAGGAGAGAAAACACAGGCAGAGGAGATTCAGAGGCACAGAGAGCAGCAGAGCTATGTCTGAAATGTTAGAAAACTATGGTCACATACTTGACATAGAAAGATTGATAAGTGCTATGGTGTGATACAGGCAACTTTCCCCCATGAGTCTCCATGAGGAGAAAGGTGGTGTATAAATAAAGTCAATAAATAAATAAAAACATAACAACTTGCTATACCACTCTGAGTCACCTTCGGGCTGAAATGGGCGGGATAGAAATAATGTAAATAAATAAATATGGTCACAGATTAAAGTAGAAAAGCTGGCTAGCAGTCCACATCACAGATGCAAGCAAACAGGGAGAAAGGTAGACGATATTTTTTTTACAAAGAAGTGGAATTAGGGCAAGTGGATTTGTATGTGGACAGAGTAAAATATGGAGATAAATAATAACTATATGATATTCAAAGTAAACAGATGAAAGCAACATTCACAGAGGATAAAAGGTCAGCAAAAAGTGAGCATGGCATCACCTTTTAAGGCTGACATTCTACTCTTGGACCTGAGACTCTGCCTGAGCCTATCACCTCAGATCTAGACCTGTAATTCCCTTCTCAAGAAATATCTCTTTAGTTGCAGGAGCTGCCATTCCTTCCTGCAATTATTGTTTTTGCTAATATTCCCTTGTCTCCTGTTCACAGGCTCTCATAGTCTGAAGGAACAACAAAGGCTATCTATTCCAATATCTCACTTGCAGTAATACAGTTAAAGCATTCCTGAAAGATGCATATTCAACCTCTGTTTAAAGACATCCACCAATCTACTCCACTGTAGAACAGCTCTTATATCAATAATAATCACTGTCATAAAGATTTCCTGGCTTTTCTATGTTTTCTTCCATCCTAAAAGGAGAAATGCCTCTGACTGGCTTGAAGCTAAAACATACTGGGTTTGTTGGCCTCCACACCTTTATTCATTGGTCCCATCGACTACTGGGATGCAGGTCATGAGCACTTTTTTGAAACTGAATTTGGCCTATGGACTAAAAACATTTCCCTGTCCTAATTTCTTCCCTATGGCATACTTTCATGGATGAAGTGGGAGAAAATTATTTTTATATAAAACACACAGACACACGTTTATAAATTATCTTCAGATGATTTCTACTTGGATGTGGTTAAACTTATCTAGCCTGGCCATTCAAGCCATCCTTTCTCACTCCACTTCTTACATTATCTATAGGCTGCACTTATTTTATTGGAATCCTGTCATAACAGATGTCATTCATAGTTTCAGCCAGATCCTATTACTATTAAGAGGCATTCCTGTCATTTGATTCAGCATATACAATATGTGGGATTGCTCTGAACAGCATTATTTCTGAGAATACAAAAATCAGAAATGGGAGAGGGATTTGTTTCTTTGCCACTATTGAGAAAAGGTGCAGGAAAGGTGCATGGCCATAGAATCAATGGGGGTTTCAGTATGAAAAAGAAGGTTGACAGAAATGAAAAATAAACATCATTTAGATTATTATATATGTTTTATTATTACTTGACTTGTTCCTGCTAGCCTTGTCTATGTTTATCATCAGACTGAATAACTCTGTGGCTCTTTTATTCATCTGTGCAATATGTTTTGTACTAACTCATGTTCAAGGATAACTATGGACACAATATGGAATGAAAGCATACAAAGTATTTACACTTCTAACTGAATAAAGAAAAACATTTTACCTGCTAGCAGCAAATTAACAAAGTAACAAATATGGAGTTAGCTCTCCAAGGGCCCCAAAACAGAAACGTCCCAGAGGTTTTTAAACAGAAGCTACATAGCTATCTGTCAGGAATACTTTATGCCTTTCCTGCATTGCAAGGGGTTGGATGAGATGGTCCACGTGGCCTGTTCCAATTCTATGATTCTAACAGTTACCAAAAAGATTATTCTCTTTATTGGTATGTAATATTGCTCCGTTAAGTGGTAAGAACCTTGAAACGCATCTTCAAAATCTGTATCAGAACTCACTGAAACCATCTACTGCTATTTTAGGTCTCTTTCTGTTCAATTAACTGTCACAGGCCATTTAAATCTGATCATGCCCCTTACACTCAGTAAAGATTTCTATCAAAACTGACCACCAAGAATTCATGCTGAACAATTTTATCTTCATATATGCTATTCTGATTGTATTTAACATTCAATCTTTTAATGACAAAGAAGGTTTTTAAATAAATGCTTCAACTACCTTAACAGAAATTATTCAGTTCAGCACAACAACAAATGCTCCACTACATTAAGCTATTATATCATGGCTATTGTTCAGCAAACCTGGGAGAAGGACTTACCATGCCAATGACAAAAACAGACTCCTAACGCATTAGATTAAGAGCACCCATAGTCTTTCCTCCCCAGTTTAACTGAGGCCCCTTTCACACAGCTGAATAAAATCCTACATTATCTACTTTGAACTGGAATATATGGCAGTCTGGACTCAGATAACCCAGTTCAAAACAGATATTGTGGGATTTATGAGTGTGGAAGGGCCCTCAGAGCGCTAAGCAACTCAAGATCCTTTCCTTTGTCTCCCCCTCCAGGAGACCCATAACCTACACAGGCAAAAAACAATGGAACTGTCTCATAACTGTAAGGTGATTCCTGTTCTGTGCCAACTGCATAGGAAAAACTATTGGTTTTCCAATACAAATAAATTTTAAACTATCCCCTCTCATCGTCAGTGCAGAAACAAATAGTGACCTCTCCCTTTGAGAACAAACTCAATTATATCCAACACTGAGTTGGCATTTTCAGTCATCACTGTTGGAAACCTGTCCCCCAGACATGTAGCCAGGGGGAGGCTTGGGGGGCTTCAGCCCCCCCCCCAAATTTTCATGGTGGTCCGTGAGAACACCTTACTGGTACATTATTTACACTGTTATGTTTATTCATGTCATGATCTGATCACCATGCTCCATATATCCCATATGCATGGGGTATTGGGGTAACGATACAAAAGGTTTGCTAGGGTAGACCCTCTTTCACTCAGACTCAGCCCCCCCGAATCAAACTCAGCCCCCCCCCCCCGAAACAAAATCCTGGCTACAGGCCTGCTGTCCCCTATCCAAGGGGGCCAAGCCTGGATATATGACAGGTTTCCAACAGTGGCCAACCACAAGTAGATCATTAAGGCAACTTTCCTCCTGTCATGCCATCACCACTTCCTTGTAGAAGACTACAGGAAAGTAAAGATGCTGATGTTCCTCTTAAGGCCCTTCAACACATCCATATAACCCAGAATATCAAGGCAGATAATCTGTTTTGAACTGGATTATTTGAGTCCACAGTGCCATATAATCCAGTTACATGTGGATTTTATACAACTGTGTGGAAAGGGCCTTACTTATAGGATTCTGAAGAATTCAGAGGATACAAATATGTTTTCCAAGAAATCATGCACAATATGAATTGATATGCAGTGGTTAAACTGATCAATTTACTAACCGCATCACAGATTCATGCCTGATTGGAAGCCCAGAATCAGAGATGAAATGGTCAATCTGTAGTCCAAGGTTGATCCTCTGAGCCCTATCTGTAGGAGTTATTCCTATGTTCTGGAGTTTGGACTAGGAACTGGTAGGACCTCACACCCAGCTATAAAGCTGCTGAATTTGAGTCTTGACATAATCTACAATGTCTTATGTGATATGCTGCTGTAGAATTCCACTGGTATCCTTAACACTTTGATACTAGACTCATTGGACAGATCCCTGACCATTGGATGAGGCATAAATTCGAGCTACACATCAGGGATAGGATACAACATAACTGTAGGGATACCTCTAAGCCTACAAACTTGATTCTGTTATCACAGCTAATATATGTTATATCTTGCATAATTTTATTGAAATCCCTTGCCATCACTACACCTTGTGGCAAAACATTTGAAAGTATAAAATATGTATAGTGAATAACTACCTCTTTTTTCTGTTCTGAATGCAAGACAATTCCATTGAATCACCCTTAGCAATATTACTGTTTCAAAGACAAAAATCTTCATACATTTTCTGTCACATGCACATTTTTAAAGCATCTGCTATGGCCCCTATCGCCAGAAATCCTTTTCGCTAAATTAAAACACCAACTGTGACGTTTCCCATATAGAATGTATTTCAAATCCTTTGTTTTGGTACTCTATATATCATTTCCAGTTGCTATTTTTATGAAATATAGAGACTAGAATTACAAACACAATCCCAAACACACATCTGCAACACAGATTTATATATAGGCATTACAATCCTAGCAGTTTTATTTCCAATCTATATCCTCATAATCCCTAGCAGAGAATTGGCTTTTTCCCCATCACTGCCTCATACTATTGGCCTTGATGCTTAATAAATTGTTTGCTCTTTCTCATGAACTCTCACATATCCAAAGATCCATAACCTAAACAGAAATGTATAAAATCCTAGGTAAGATATTTGAAGAGTCTGAGATGAAAGTCCTGAAAAAGACAACCCTCTAATACTGCTGTGCTCATGAAGAAGACTCGGACATTGCTAGAGAATCCAATAATTGTGGAATAATTGTGGAATTTCCCATCTGTATAGTTATTATTTCTTTCTGGAGCATCCTGCTGCTGAACTCACAAATACCCATCAAAATTACAAGCATCACTATTAAATTTCTATTTACTAGGCAAGTCATCACATGGAATCACTGGAACAGAAATACTCTATATGTCTAGTTTGTTTTCCGATGGTCTATTCCCAATTGAATACACACTGACAATCATGAAGTTTTCAAAACATTATATATATTTTCCCATGGATACACTTCCTTTTGTTAATAAAGGAAAGGTTTTCTTGAAATTGCTCTTAAACCAAGTACAGTTAGCTGATAAAACACCACATAATATACAAAAAATGAAAAATATCTCCCTGACCCCCTTTTCTTTCCAATATTTACCTCCACTTCGCAGCCATATTCTGAACCATCCAGAAGGATCACTTTGCACTGCATGCTTTTTGGTTTTTTGGCAATCTTTAGAGGAGACCTGGAGAGTTTGCTGGAGGATGATTTCTGCGATAGCTTGTCGTCTTCAAACTGCTGGTATTCCAGTTGTTTTGCTGCAGCAGCAGCAAATTCACGTTCTTTGTCAGTGGCCTACAAAGAGAAAACAGGGAGATTAAGTTCCAGCTTCAGATTAAAAAAACATCGCTGATCACAGTAAGCTTTCAAAATCACAAAGCCCAATCAGATATCCCTTTGCCGAGGACTATTTGGAACCACATTTTAAAATGCAGATATAAATGCAGTGTGACAGAGATGGATTTCATTCCATATTCCCAATTGAAATGAAACTGCTGGTCTGTCACAAAATGGCTAATTCAGGGCAATGTCACCACAATAAATTCATTTTCTCTTATCTTTTTGGGAGGAGTCTGAGGTTATAAAATCCAGCCTGCTGTATGATTTTTCAACAACGATGCCACTTTTCAGAAGACAATGGAAGGCTAGAATGTCCCATTCAACAATATGCCTTTTCCATCAGGCAGTTAAGGCGTATCCGCACAACATAAATACAGCAGTTTGACACCATTTTAAGTGCCGTGGCTCAATGCTATAACATTTGAGCTTTGTAGTTTTGCTAGATATTTACTGTATATACTTGAGCATAAGCCTAATTTTTCAGCCTTTTTTTAGGCTGAAAAAGTCAATCTCAGCTTATACTCAAATCAAGGTTATTTTTTTTACTCTGTTATTCTTATTATTTTATTACATTTATTATTTTACTCTATTTATTATTTCTGTTATTACATTTATCATTTTCCTTTATTATAGTTATTATTATATTCATTATTTTACTCTATTTATTATTCTTATTACATTTCCATTATTTTACATTATTATTATTATTATTATTATTAATACATTTATTATTTTATTCTATTATTATTGGAAGGATACATAAGCACATTTATACTGAAGAAGATTAGAATAATGGTTTAATCAGAGCTGGACAGTCTTATCTTAAGTTACAGTTTTATGTAAATATTCAAAAAACATTTAACCTACTGATGCCTCAATTAATATAACTGTATTGGTATCTATTTGTATTTAGGAATTTACCAGTAGTTGCTGCATTTCCCACCATCAGCTTATACTTGAGTCAATCTGTTTTCTCAGTTTTTGTGGTAAAATTAAGTGCCTCAGCTTATATTCGGGTCAGCTTATACTTGAGTATATATGGTGGCCCTCTCTGTCAGAGTCCTCTGGTGGCACTGTAAACTACAAAACCCAGAATGTCACAGCATTGAGCCATGACCATTAAAGTGATATCAAACTGCTATAATTCTGAAATGTGGCTATCGCCTACATTCCAGCAGCAGCATCACCTTCAAAATGTTTCTGCCCCTCTTCATAGACCTTGCACAAAAAATCAATAAGCAAAGTGTCAAGAAAAACAAAGAAAGTTTTAGCTAAAGCTTAAAAAGTTAATCTTATTTTCATCACACCATCATCAAAACATATTTGATTTGGCTTTCAATGACTTCAATGCAGCCTGGCAGCACGGGCATTCATCAAAAAATAATCTTCCAAGTCTGTTTCCTTCATCATAACAAGTGTCCATGGGAATGAATCAAATCCGGCCAAAAGCTTTAATCTTCTTTCAAATCTAAAGAGTCGTGTATTGCACAATATGGAGCAGAATGCAATGCTCCAATGCATATACAACACAGCATATGAGGAGAATAATTTTTTTTCTGCTAAAACAAGTAAGTGTTGCAGAGAGGAAAAACAACAACTATACAGATGTTACTTTAGTTATAAACAAGATATTTATGCTTTTTTTTCAAAAAAGAAAAGAAAGACAGTGCATAGGTACTCACTTCTAAGAGTAACTAAGAAGAACAAAAATAAAGCTGGAAAGAATATCTCTAGGTCACAGGAGTACCTTGTATTAATCTGTGCTGTGCAAATAAATAAAAAATGCCAGAGACTATTATAGCAGGACCCCAAACTGTCAAGATGTATTCACGCAGCAAGATCATTTCACAGGGAATTAGACTTCATCTTCCTAAAAAAGCCTGACATCCTGTTCATGCAGTTATCTAGGGCAAAATGACCACTGAGACATACATTAAATATTTGGTTTTGTATTTTTATATGCACAAATCCATTATCTTTCATACACAATGAAATTTCCCATCTCAGAGGTTATTTGTGCTGCATTTCCCCAAGCATTTGCCAATAGCATTTTAAACTATAATTTAAAACAGAAGAAAAATGTTTTAAGGTGTTTTGTAGACCAAGAAATAACAGTTGGGTCAGCACTGCTGTTATTAGATGGAAATAGTTTTGGTCTTCCTTTCCCTTTTTTCTGTCATAAAATTGGGATGGTGATTATTTACAGAATGCTTAAATGTGTATAGGTTGGTTCAAAATTTGAAAGAGTAAGCACTGCTGAGCCTGAAGCATCTGCAGTTAATGAACAGAGAATGACAAAAAAATTTTTAACCAACTGTGCAACAAACCCTTCTAATTTCAAAGTGAAAAACTCCACAATTTTAATTTTTCAAGAAACTATCCAAATTTGAAAGCATAAAGGATAAGTAAGCACTTGTATCATTAATAATGTTGTGCTGGTTAGTGACTGTAATAAAGTTTTGTATTATTGGTTAATAATGTTTTTTAAAAAACATAGGAGTATCAAACTGCAGTAATTTCATTCCACTAGGACAGTAATTTCCAACCTTTTTTTTTTTAACCATGGACGACTTTGACCAGGGACCACTCTCCAACATTGGTACAAAAAGGGTTATGAATCAGTTTTTGGTTAATTTTAGATTTGGTTTGGTTATTTGGGGTGCTGATTCAAAAAATTGCATTGGATAGACCACATCAGCTCTAGTTTCTGATACAGAACATATGCCATCCTGTAGTCACCATCTGCTCGCCCACAGAAAACCATATTTAATAACAGCTGACGTGGTCTATTCAAGGGGGCAGGACTGGTCAGCAACATGGAAGGAGTTGCAGGTGGTATGAAGGGAATGGAAATAAAATAAATAAGGAGGAAGGAGGCTTGCGGATCATATTTTTGACCTTGCAGCCCACTGGCGATCTATGGCCCACAGGTTAATAACCATTGCACTAGGGGCTTAATAAATGTAAGATTGTGTTGGTGTCAAATCACCAAGCTCCGAATGATATTAGATTTCAGAAGGTATCAAATCTGGGATGTACCCATTGTTTCTGCCTTCCAAAAATGGGTATGATCTAAAACAGTGATGAGAACCCCCCCCCCCCCCCCCCCCCCACACACACACACACTTAATAGAAGGATTGATCTTGAAAATTAAACTCAGCAGTTTTGGCACAAATAACAAAAATATTACATGACTGAAGTAAAAAAAAAATCCCAGTTCCTATCCTTTATCCACTTCCCAAAAATTCTTAATGACACCCAAAGATAAACAGAGGAATGCATTTATGATAAAGAAAGCATTTCATTCAGCATATACTTCCACATGAAAAAGGAATATGCTGTAAAATGTTATAAATTAACCATGTTCTGATAGATAACTTGCCTGCTCTTTTTTCACAGGAGTGCTGTGGCCTGCAACACCGGCAAATTGTTCTAATGCATTCTGATGCTCTTCACTCAACTGCTGCTGCTGCTGCTGCTGCTGTTGTTGTTGTTGTTCTGTTTCTTGGGCTCCTGCCCCACCTGCTCCTTGCTCTCCTGAAGTTTCCTTCTGTTCCTGATCCTTAGATTCAGAGTCTGATCCAGGTTCTGTGGTCATGGTTGATTAGTCTGCAACACAAACGAGAGCTTTTGACTATCATGAATTCTGGAAGGAATTGAGTGATGTCCAGGGACTACATACAGAGTGTAGAGAGCCATGCCGACTATCATGGAACTGGAAGAGGTCCTCACACTCCCCACCACCATCACTTTATGCAGTGGGTCTAAATAGTGAGTCTAATTGATTTCAGTGCACAATGTTTACTTATTCATTATTTATTTACTGTATTCGTATATTGCCTTTCTCAGCCCGAAGGCGACTCAAGGAGGTTCACAGTTGGCCACAATTCGATGCCCCAAATAGATATAAAAATACAATTTAAAACATTTAGCATATATATAAAAACCATATAAAACTAATAAAAAAATAAACCATCAGTGTCTCCTTACTAAAATAATTTTCCAGTCGCATTGTCTAGTTGTTCCGTAGTTTCATATTAACCTGTTATGGTGCATTTGTGAAAGCTTGCTCAAAGAGCCAGGTTTTGACTTTTTTACAAAATGTTAAGAGAGAGGGGGGCGATCTAATATCCCTACGAAGGACATTCCATAGCCAAGGGGCTACCACTGAGAGGGCCCTGTCTCTCGTTCCCACCAGACGCATCTGTGAAGATGGCGGGACCAAGAGCAGGGCCTCCCTAGACGATCTGCGAGTCCTAGATGGTTCATAAGGAAAGATGCTTATGACAAGTAAGCTGTTTCCAAATTTTGTCAATGAAACACAAACCAGAAACTAGCTGTGCTTGGGAACCCAGTGCTCAGTCAAATGCTCAAAAACACTGAAAAGTTTTAGAAAACTTAAAGGCTTACATTTACATTAATATGAGCTCTTGAATAATAATCATCATCATCTTTATTTATACCTCGTCACCATCTCCCCAATGGGGACTCAGAGCGGCTTACATGGGGCCAAGCCTGGACAACATATTACATTAAAATAAAACCAAAACATAAACATCAAAATTACATAAAAATTACATACACATACATCATCAAAATTACATAAAAAAACAAAAACATATGAATACAATAAAAAATAACATTACAATAAACACAGTCACAGTAACAGTGAGCGGGCCACATGTACAGGATAAAATGTTTAAAAACTCTAATGAGATAAAATTAGGGTTGAATACTGTATAACATTTCATTAGATACTTTTGTAAACTGGGTTATATCATACAACAGCTCATGCCGTAATAGATTTGTTAGTTTTTAAGGTATCACAGGACTCTTTAGTGCCTTTGCTGCTCAGATGATCAAGATGATTCATACCCAACTCAGTTAACAGAACACCAAACAGACTAGAGTGAAACTATCCAAATCCAAACAATTTCTTGAAAGTTTTTGCTCCACTTAGGCAACCCTCAGAAATTCAGCCCAGTTTTGGCTATGACCCTAAGCATATACTTTAAAACACACTTTAAAATGAGCATACTTTTTCAAAATGCATAAGTGCAATATTTTCACAATCTAAATTCAACTGTATATAACAGTAAAAACAAAAGGTCTTACTGTAAAAACCCATATTTCTTCATTAAGAGATAATCTGTTTAAGTGAATAAAAATTTGTTGTGAATAATAATAATAATCAGGTGGGGCTATGGGTGAAAGCTATGTTGGCAAAACTGAAGACTAACAGGTAAGAGGTTTGAATCCAGGGAGAGGGGAGATGAGCTCCCTCTGTCAGCTCCAGCTTCCCATGCGGGGGCATGAGAGAAGCCTCCCACAAGGATGCATCTGGGTGTCCCCTGGACAATGTCCTTACAGACGGCCAATTCTCTCACACCAGAAGCAACTTGCAGTTTCAAGTCGCTCCTGACACACAGAAAAAGGAAACCCCAAAGTAACTGCAAATTATAAAGAATTGCCCTCATGGAATATCAGAATCTCTTCTGGCAAGGTGAATACTTTAAATTGTTTTAATATGTTTGTGGTTTAATTTTACTTGTGTTAACCTTTTGTATGTTTTTATTCTACTGCAATAATTTCACTTTGTAAATTAAGTCCCAATCTTGTGAGAAAGAAGGGATGACAATAATGGTGACCTATTACACCCCCCAAAAAACTGTCAACTACTCATTGTAACGGTTCCAGATATAATGATGATAATATTTTGTATCAACACACACAGCTAAACAACCATTTTCAGTATCATGGAGTCTACATCCACTTTGTAAAGCATACATCTCAAAACACTTAATTTTTAAGTAAATACATAATGCATTCTGCATTCAAAAAAATCAAGCAGCAGGTTCTAGATATCAATAACAAAATCCGTTCATGCTTATCCAGTTCCAACTTGTTAATGAAAATAAGGTCAGATACTGAAAGGTAGCAAAAGCCATATGGTAAAATCTACAAAGCATTCAGGAAAATATGCTTGACAAAATGGGGTTTCAGTCTAAATACTATCTTAGGCAACGCAAATAAGGGAGTCAGAATAAAAAGAGTACTGTTTCAGGAAGAAAAAGAACTAGAAATGCAAACTAAAATTTCACACACAAGTTTATCTAAAGGATTTCTGCTACAAGAAAACAAAAATCATAAACTGTGTGTGTAACTTTCAGATTGGCTTAATCTCATAATGAAAATAAGAGTGTTTGTGAAACACATTAGTACAATCAAATAGCTCTCTAAATTGAATAATAAATATTTCATCAAGCAATTAAGGACATAGGGAAACAAATCCCTAAAATGACTCATTACAACCCTCTCTGGATTCACCCGCAGCTTTTCTGATCATTTAGATCTTATTCCCTTTTTTCTAAACCTTTTTCAAATGCTATAAAGCCCAAGGTATTCTTTTTAAAGCCCACTGCATTGCTTTCCATCCTCATGATTGATGATAGCAACAATGCACTTTCTGTTGAGGCTTAACTGGAAAAGCTCAACTTACTGCCTCATCACTTTCTTGTTGGAAGAGCCTCATTAGCACCAATTCATTGCATCTACAGTGGCTATTAACTGTCCTGGCTACATGGCGAGCATGCATACATGACATTCACCATTTAAAAGCTTAATTTAACACTTCAAAAGGCTAAGTGTGCTTCAGACAGTAATTTATAGATTTTTATTTCAGTTTTACACGCTATTGACAAAGCAGACAATTAATATTTCCCCAACAATAGCATCTTATGATCAAAAATAACCCCCTAAATTAACATATTAATTATATTATTATATCTACTTATTCAGTATATTGCACTTCTAGCCTGCCTCTTCAGTAAAAAATAGTACTCATTAGATTCCAATGCACAAAATCTTGATTAACATGTGAAAACTAATTCATAACATAATACAAATACATCTATGAAATGCTGAGGGAAAGCTAACACTCAACTAGTGAAAAAACCTTTCAACTAAGAGAGCAATTTAAAGGCCAAAGAAGTGGCTGAATAAAAATGCGTAAAACTTAACTTGATACCTTCATCCAAGTATATTTCGAACAAGCGAAGAGGTTCATAAGGGTGAAGAGATTCTTTAAAATACACTAGTCCTCAATTATATAGGACTTTAAAGTTGATCATTTCTGATCTGAACTGTGCTTTCATATAAATCAGAAGGAAGCAAAATTATTATAAGAAGGAATAATTATATCTTTCTGACTGCTGCCAGGAAATCAGAAGATGTTTAGTTTTTGGGAGGGGAGCAATTACCAAGCTCAATAAAATAGTGAAGAGACGAGACATCACACTGCTAATGAAGGTCTGCATAGTTAAAGCAAAGGTATTCCCCATAGTAACCTATGAATGCAAGAGCTGGACCATAAGGAAGGCTGAGTGAAAGAAGATAGATGCTTTTGAATATGGTGTTGGAGGAAAATTCTTGGTCTGCAAGAAGATCAAACCAGTCCATACTCCAAGAAATAATGTCCAGGTGCTCACTGGACAGATGGATATTAGAGGCAAAGATGAAGTACTTTGGCCACATAATGAGAAGACAGGAAATCTTGGAGAAGAGAATGATGCTGGGGAAAATGTAAGGAAAAAGGAAGAGGGCCAGGCCAAGGGCAAGATGGATGGATGTTATCCATGAAGTGACTGGCTTGACCTTGAAAGAGCTGGGGGTGGCCACGGCCTATGGGGAGCTCTGGCATGGGCTGGTCTATGAGGTCACAAAGAGTCGGAAGCAACTGAATGAATAAACATCAACAAAAGTTATATCTATAATGGGTCCCCAGTCAATAATCAATCACTAACATTTTGGATCAGCTGAAATTTCCAAATATTATACAGAAATGTCTTACAATAGTCTGATTAGGATGTAACTAAGGCATGTGACATTATGGACAGTTAGAATATCTCGAACAAGCCCATTTTGCTTAATGATCAGAAAGAAATTCTTATTCCTTACAAAATACAGCACTTTTGGTCACTAATGTTTTTAGCCATTTCTCAGTTTCACATCTGACTTTTTGACTTTTCCAAGATGGAAGAATTTAAATTTTTTTCAAAACTGCAATACAAATCTCATTTCTAGGGTGATTTTCCTGGCATGAAGAACAAGCACACACCATTAAAAGTCAGCACAGAAGCTTGAGATACTGCAGTGCAGATGTGCATGAATGCCCTCCTGAACTGTCATTATGAATTGTAAAGTTTTCTTGCAGATCCCACTTATCCCATCTAATCAGTAACTAGGATAGCTGAATGAGGACAGAACTCGAGCCAAAACAGGACCATAGATAGAAGGGACCCATCACCAAGCTCAGATGTTTCCAAGTTCTCTGTAACCACTTGCTTTTGTTAAAACAAAAATTTCTCATCTGTCAAAAGTATCACAATGGCGCCTGAATATGCTGAAGAAGCTCAAGGTCCACAAACATTGAGTGTAAAATGCAAACTGTGGCTGGGGTCATAATGAATTCAGCTGTGTAGCAACAGAACATAGCACAAGCACTTTGACATTTCTACCATGAAATTAAATGCTTGAACCAAAGTTGTATCTTGCAAAATGGACATCATCACATGCACAATGACAATCAA